ATTTCTATAAATACGTTTGCATGTTATCACAAAGAACCACATATACTATTGCGCGCCTAACATTTATGGGGATGGTCTTATAACAAAAGAAAGTCTAAGCTCCGCCGCTTTTTAACTTGAGTTTCTTAATGTCGTGTAATTTTTTTTTTTTATGCTGACTTTATGAAAATACCCAATTATTAATAGCAAATTAGTACTTAAATAAATGAAAGAAAATATATTAACTAATTGAAGAATAAATAAAGCCACAAAAGCAACAAAAAAGTAATTAACAACATTCCGCTAAGACTACTTTGTTTAAAACATGTTTGCAAATAATTCCATAAAAATGTCCAAGTTTATGGGATTCATTAGCTGGATATAAATAAATTTCGTAAATCTTAAAAACGCATGCAATTCCTTAACTCAGTGGTTTTGAGAAATAGAGAGAATGAAAAAGAATTTTTTTTTTTTGTAATTTAAGAAAGTGCAAATACTTCAAAAATGTACGCATTACTAGGTGGCAGTCCAAATTTCAAAATAATAATAGCCTCAGGGTATTTCAATAAGCCTCAATTAAAACTATTTTTAACAAAATGCTAAATCACAACAAATTTGTGACTTTGGCGTTAATCAGACAAAAAAATGTAGAAAGTGCAAGTGATTTCTAAGTATTGTTTCGCCCATTTTTAATATGTAATTTTTTCATTGTATTCAGTAATATTTACAATTTCATGATGGAAAGATATATACAACCAGATTTTTATTATCAAAATAATCGTTCTCCAATTGAAATTTTCCGTGCGCTTTTGCCATTTTATGGTCGTAATAATCGTCCAACGCTATTCGTCGAATTGTTTAAAATTTCAAGCGTAATTTTTTTTTACATAAATTTCTAAAGCCAATAAGACAAAAAACCGCTCGAATTAATGAAAGTATTGCTGCCGTTCAGGCTAGTGTTGCTGAATTTGTCGATTCCAAGACATGCTCAAGAATTACGACTACCTCAGAGAAAAGATTTGGACAGGCATATTAAAATGTGCGCACTCAAGAACAGAAGCCATAGGAGCACCGTTAATGTCGCGAATTTGCTAATTTTGAATTGGAACAACTTGGAAACGATAACGATTTTTTAGGAAAATCATCTACTCCGATGAGGCTGAACTTGATCTGAGTGGTGCGGTAAATAAACAAAACTGTCGATTCTGGTGCAATCTTGACAACATGACAACATCTAGTTCCAACAAGACGGGGCTACATGCCACACAGCACGTACAACAACCCAGTTAGAAGTATTGTGAGAAATATTTGGAGCTTCGATTATTTCAAGAATTTGTGACATTGAATGGCTGCCAAGAAGTTAGCACTATTTACTTTTATTATTATATTATTTTACAACTTCTTGTGCGATTATTTGAAGTCATTGGTCTTTACAATAAGCCAGACTATCTTCAAGCTTTGAAAGCCAATATTGAACGTGCTATTCATGATATACGACTTGATTTATTGGAAAAAGTACTCAAAAATTGGGTTCATCGAATTCGTTCATGCAAAAGAAGTCGTAGAATCCATAATTCAGAACTTAATTAAATCGATTGTAATTCACATTAAATAAAAAAATGTTGATTTCCTTAACAATTATTGAAAACCCCTGTATATCTGATTATTAATCTTAATATTTTTATATATAATATAAAATATTTTTCTAATTAATGGATGTTAATTTTATATAATTTCCGAAAATATGTCGTAAGCGGATTAATTAAACGAAAAATGTTACTTAATTATTCCATTGAAACAATTATTTGCTTTAAGCATTATAATTGCTAAGCGGATTTGGCAGGGAATACTGTAAATGTTGTCACTTCTTTTTTTTTTTAAATTTTTTTTTTTTTTTTTTTTTTTTTTTTTTTTGTACAAACATATTAATGTGCTGAACTATGTGTAATAAAATGAAATATAAGTGATGTAAATTTAAGAAATGCCTATTTTTAAGCAATAATTGGATAGCGCACAAATCTGAAGCCGCTTATTTCAAAATATTTTTTAACAGTATATTCTAGTTTATAAGCATGAATTGCAAGCAATTTTAGAATTAATTGGACAATTAGTATATTTAGTTTTAATTTTTCCATTAGTTATTTATCAACATTTCAAGAATACTGAAAAAAAAATTTAAATAAAAAATTTCGAAAATTGACAGCTGATAATGTGGGATATTTTTTTTCCTCGAATGGCGACTGCTTGAAAAAACAACAATTTTCTTGAATAGTTATAATACTTTGAAAAAAAAAACGATATTTTTATTTCTAGTCTAGCATGCTCTCTTTAAGGTATTACATGGGTTTACGGGTTTCAAAAAATCGATTTCTAAGTCTAATAAGTCAATAAGACATATTAAATTCAACAACACCTCTCGAATACTGACCTAAATTTTTAAGGCTAACTAGACTAAGTGCGCCATCTTTAAGCGCGTTCTCGAAACTGTGTTTTTGAAGTCGGTTGGCAAAATATCTCCAGTAACACTCAACCGATCTTCATGAAATTTTACACAATTCTTAAAGTCTTGGACGAAATTTTCACTGAAATTCTCATTTTTGTTTTTTTTTTTCTACAAAAATCAAAATTTCAATGACAACGCGGGCGCATCTTATTTTCCGAGGAGTCACCGGAAATGGCGTCGCATGGCCGATTTTAAAATATTTTTCTCCAAAAAATTATTATATCTTTTTACAAAGCCCATTTTATTAATTTAGAATAGAAAGAGGCCAAAATATAACACTTTTATAGGAAAATAAAACCATAAATGCTATAAGTCGCCTGTGGCTTTACATATTGTAAACTTTTAAATATCTCTGCCATTTTAGTCAAACTTAGCTACTTAATGTACAACTTTAAACAATGTTGAAGGTTGCTTCAAATATATATTAAAACCCTGTACTAAATCAGCCTTAGAAAAGAAACAAAAAAATGTTTTCAAAACTTGTACACATTTTAGCAAGTATAGGGAGGGAAATGTTACAAGAAATGTTGTTATTTGAGCATAAAAATATAGGTAGCATAAACCGCAAAACTCGCAACACTACTTTCAATTCAAAAAGAAAATTTGGTAAAAGAAAAACAAAACCCAAAAATCAAAAATCAAAATAATTAAAACAATTTCAAATAAAAAAGATATTTAAAAATTCCAACATAACCTAAGTAAATGCAAGTACGAATCCAACTAAAATAGCCATAATGCAAATTGAATGCATAATAATAAGAATTTTGCTTAAAATATTAGAAGAATTGAATGAGTTTTTTTAATATACCTTATTTGCTTGTTGAGCTTTCTGTTTTGTTTTCAAATGAATTGTAGGCAGATTTTGATATTTTGTACGATTTGATATTGTTGTTGTATATTGTAGATATTATATTATGTGGTATTATTGTAATACGAGTATGTCGGTGTTTTTTTTTTTTGTTTTGTTTTTATTTTTGTTTTTTTGTTTTGTTTTGGTGGGTAAGAGTAGAATTGTTTCCATTTGATTGTTGTTTTTTGTTTGTTTTGGAATTCAGAAAATATTTTACAATATATATATACCATATATACGAATATTGTGTTTCGAACGTTAATTGTTTGATTACGTATGTTTGTATTTGGGGGGTATATTATATAAATGTTGGCAATTTAGCACACATCGAGAATTTTGTTGAAAAAGAGAGAGAAAAGAGAAAAAACAAAAATGAAATTTAAAAATATAATCGTTTTTACAGTTGACTTTTTCACTTATGAAAGTTATATGCATATGTATGTATGTATTTACGATTCATATGATTGTAGGGCCTATGGAAAGTGTTTAAGAAGAGTTAAAAAAGAATTAAGAATTAGGTTATATTAGAAATTTAATTAAAATACTATAGTGGTGCGATCTAAACAAGTTATGAGGATATAATATAGCACTGCCTTGAATACTAATATCTGCCAAAATTCGTGAAGATATCTCGTCAAATAAAAACCATTCCAAACGAGAACTTTACTTTGATTGTTCACTTTGTATGGCAGCTATATATAGTGGTCCGATCGGAACAATTTCTGCGAATAATAAAGCACTGCCTTGGATAGTAATATATGCCAAATTGGGTGAAGAAATCTTCAAATGTAGAAGTTTTCCATACGAGGACTTGATTTTGATTATTTAGTTTTTATGACAGCTATAAGCTATAGTGGGCCGATCGGAACAATTTCTGGGAAGGTTATTCCACTGCCTTGGAAAACAATATATGCCAAATTTCATGAAGACACGTGTTCAAATAAAAAAATTTTCCATATGTGACCTGGTCTACGAAAAGGGAGCTAACGTGCGAAAACTAGTTTATGAGTTTTTGGATTCTATCACGTGAAAAAAGCAGCTCATCTTCCATCCGAATCAACTAAGATTTTTTGACACCTAAGCCCCCTTTCCGTAGACCAGGTCACATATGAGTACTTGATTTTGATTGTGCAGTTCCTTTGGCAGCTATATGCTATAGTAGTCCCATCTGAATAATTTCTTCGTAGATTGCATAATTGCCTTAGATAATAGTCCATGCCAAATTTCGTGAAGATACATCTTCAAATAAAAAAGTTTTCCATGCAAGCACTTGGTTCTGACCGTTCAGTTTGTATGCCAGCTACATACTCGTATATGCTATGTCGCCCAAAATTGGCGCTTCTGACAAATGAGCAACTTCTTGAGGAGAAAAGAACGTGTCAAAAATTTCAGATCGATATCTCAAAAATTTACGTATTAATTGATATACATATGCATATATAAAGACAGAGGGGCATGTAACTCTAAATCGACTTAGCTTTAAAAATATATCGAGCTCCAACATTTCAACTTTTATAATACCGAAAAAACGAAATTATAAGAGACATGTTTTGCGAGAGCCATTAAAAGAAAGGTTTGAAAAAATTTTGTGTTTTAGGTTTTGAATTTTTGTATTAAAAAAAAATATATACATACATATATATTTTCGTAAAAAAAAAATTTTAATAAATTCCTTTAAAAAAATTATGTATAATTCTTAATTCACTTTCCATAAACGCCTGCAGTTGATAATTTTCAAATTTCCAGATGTCGAAATTCGTAAATGATTTCGATTGTGAAGGAATAAAACTTGAGAAAATTGAAAATCTTAGGCATGCAAAAAGTTATAACGAGACATTATCCGCATATTTAGGTATTTAATACATAATTTAAATGAAAATTTGTAATTGAAGATTACTTTGAAAAAAAAAAGATTTAATAAAAATTTAACAACTATTTACAATAAACAAGAAATGAAAAACAAATGAAATTGAAAGATATAATTTAAATAAGAAAAAATACAGTAAACAAAAGCCGTTATTAAAAATAAAAAATTAAATTAAATAAAAAACATAATAAACAAAACTAACATGAAAACAAATATAACAACGCAAGCTCATATTCAAAATCAAAAAATACAAACTAAAAAAACGAAAACACATAGAAAAACAATTTAAATGAGTTTAAAAAATTGTTCGATTATGTATTAAGTTTTAAAAAAAGTGTATAAGAAGGAAGCAAAAATAAAGTAAGAATTAACAACAAAACAACAATACCTGCAATTCATCCCACGGAATGGCGCCACATTCATCGCACGAAACAGCGGCCACCTGCAGGCGCAGTGAAGAAGCATTACCCTCATTTTGACGTATCAATTCAACTGTTGTTAATCTATGGAAATTAAAAAAATAATTATCAACTTATTTCTCACATTTATTGCACAAACTCAAGTGTCTTGTCACACGCACCTAAAAGTTGCCATTGATACCAAATCGCGTCGCCGCCACGTGCTTGCCTCGGACGGCTCTGACGGTGATGATAAGTTAGTCTTGTTGTAACCAGGCTCCTCTAGCACTTCGCTGGCTACTTCCACGGGCGATGCTTTTAAGTTGGTATCATTGGTGAAGGGATTTAATCTTTAAATATATTTTATAATACATTATTTGCAGCAATAAATTGGTTGAAATTAAATGGCATACACTGAAATCATACCTAAACATTACATCAATGCAATCCATGGTCTTATCGTCGCCCATAACTATGGCGAAATTTTCTGAATCGGAACTAATATCACTTTGTATGGAGAATGTATCACTGGTGTCATCGTTTGGTGTACCAGATTTGATGGCCGAATCGATGGACGTCATAAAACTGGAGAAGCCTTTTTTCATAGACATCAGACCTGGAAGGGGTGATTTTTAATTAATGTGATTTATAAAAGAGGAGAGCTTGCTTCAAAATAAATATATAATATTCAGTTTTATTCCATAGAAGCAGTTACACGGGTTTACCGATTTCAAAAAATGAGAAACCCTTGAGAACTTGTGCGCTCGAGGCTAAGTGCGCCGTCTTTAAATGCGTTTTTGTCAAAATTGGCAAGATTTCTCGAGAACTACTCAACCGATCATGACTAAATTTTACACCGCTCGTTGAGATACAATTCTTAAAGACTTGGAGGAAGAATTTTTTTTTAGATTACAACTATTAGAAAAAAAATTTCGCGAAATTGTCACTGAAATTTCTCCTTTTTTTCTTTTTTTTGATAAAAATGACTGCGAAAATCCAATTTTGAGTTTTTTTTTAGGTTAAAAATATTCTAAAACAATGCAATGTCTTAACCTCTCATAACTTAACTTTTACTAACATTATAAGGAAAAGCTTTAAAGTAACGACTAAATTACTTTATGTATTCAAACTGGTTTCCTTTCTACTTGTAACCATATTTTTAATACAAATGATATACTAAATTACTGCAATCTAACCTCGCTTTTGTCATTCACTGCAAAATGCATCTAAATAATTAGGGGTTACACATAGTATCAAAAAGTTATAAGTTATAACGATCCTAAAACGTTACGTTCAGAGTTTTATTTGCGTAAACTTATTTTAGTATGCAAAGCAACAACAAATTTTTTAAACTAGTATAAAAATGTATGATTTTATGACTTTACGATGCTTTATGACACGTTGTGAGTACCCCAAATAATATAAAAAATTATATTTTACTTACTAGAATTGATTTCTTTCGTTATGCTGGTCGCATCGCCCGCATTCGAAGTTCGTGCTGAGCGCACGCTCTTCGTCGACGCTGTAATGGACTGCGAATAAACACCAGTATCAGGGCGTGAACCCTGACTGGGTGTAGAGGACGCTACAGTGGGTGTACTTTGAATTTGCACATTGTAACTGCAAAGCAAAAAGAAGAAATTAATAATTAAAATACGTTGTTACCTTATAACTAGTACAACAATTACTAACCCATGTGTATTTGGATTAGAAGTGTGCATAACACCATCAAAGAGCGGTTCATTAGTGACCGGCGAAGGTGTCTCCACACTACCATATATATTACTCTTCACTTGCTCTAACGGCGGTGTAGGCCATATAGTGTTTGTACCTGCCAAAGGAAGCGATAAATTAGGTAGTCCATTATACGAAATTCATGCAATATTTGCGCCAGTGATAAGTATTTCATAGCACGAGTAGTGATTGCTTGAAAGTTTATGGTTATATAGCAGTTCTTTATTTTATTTTGAGTTTTAAGTGGTTTGTGGGTGGTTGGTGTGGCTGAGTGGCATTGTGGACAGTTCAGCATCTACGTTGATTAGTGGTTTTAATGTTATTTATGAGGAAAAACATGCAAAATTTATTGGAGATTAAAAAATATATTCAAAAAAAAACGAAAAGTATGAATGAAATCGTTATTAAGCTACGCACGCACACACACACACACATTGAGATGATTAGAAATAAATTAGTAAAATATTGAATATAAAAGAAGAGGCAAAATAGAATCGGACTAGGCCTTGCAGAAGTCTAAGGTTGAGTAATATTTAGTAATTATAAAATCAGCTTTTGACAAAATAAAGAAGTGTTAATTTTAGACAACATGCTAGAATTGAATTGCACTGAAGAGGTGCCAAATATATGCCTCGGTGGAGAGGGAATAAATTCTAAGGATATTATTGATCCCAAATTGAAAAAAAAAAACAACCTAAAAGAAATGAAATTCTCTTAAGCGTTTTTTGTTATTTCTGCTCTCATTATCAGTGAATTAGAAAGGGGTTGATTTAAGGTTCTATACTAAGAAATTTAAATAAAATAATTGTTTTTAATTCTGCCCTCTTTTTCAATGAATTAGAAAGGAGTTCTTGAACTTTCTATAAATAAAGGGTTTCTAAAGAAAAAAATATTTAGTATAAAAAACCAAAAAAAAAAAATAGAAAATTGGGAATTAAAAAACCCTCCTTAAGGGTTTTTTCGTATAATATAAAAGTTTTCACTCCCATGTGTCAACAAATAATATTTGCTTTGAAGTTCTATAAATAAATGCTCTCTAACAAAAAAAATTGCTTAGTAATAAAAAGAAAGCCCCCCCGAGGAAATAAAGTACGCTTTAGGGAAATGAATATTTTAGCTCTCATGTATCAATAAATATGTAAAAGCTTTAAAGTTCTATTGTTAAAGGGTTTGTATGAAAGAACTGTACATATCTAGTATTAAAACAATACCTCAGAAGGTAGAAGAAGTGTTTCTAAGAGAGAAATGTATCTAGTACTAAAACAATATATCAGAAGGACATTAAAAATTTAATTTTTAGTAGAATTCACTGTTCATATAAACTAAATAATGTGTTTCTAAGGAAGAAATGTATGTATATGGTATTAAAAAAATTACCCCGAAATGAAATAGAATAATCCTAAGGGAAATTTTTGGTATCGTCTTTTATATTTTCATTTTTGTTTTTTGTTCTTATTTGGGGGCAAAAAATAACCTTTGAAGTTCTATAAATAATAAATTTCCCTATTGATCTAGTTACGTTATATCTAAATATATATCTATTAAATAATGTAATAAGTAAAATGAGAATGTGAACAAAAGACCTTGGATGGGCAATTACACGCATTAAATTATGGAACTAAGGTCAACGCGGGTGTTTGCGGTGAAATGATTTGGCATTAATAATTAAATTTAGAAGTATAACAAACCTTTCACCTTTAGTCTTGTGTTTCAAAGTTATATTTATACTAATGCTGCCAGCAAAAGCGGCCAATTTTAACTACGCAACTAAATAGTTAGTAGCTAATCGATGTGCCTATGCTTACGACTTGCTAGGTGTGTATTAGTAGCTAAGCAAAAAACAAAATAAACTACGAAAAAAAATAATAAAAGTAAAAGAGAAAAGCCAAGTATTGACTAAACAGTGTGTTAGATAGACACGGATTCTGGTTGCTATTTTTAGAATTTAGCGATTACTAAAACTTAGGATACGAAAAAAAAGAAAATAAATCTTACTATTCATGTGTAAATCATCACCCAAACTAGCTGAATCGGGTAAGACACTTTCAGCATCACCACCACTCGATTCCTTACCAGGTGTTGGCGATGGCATCACGAGTGTCACTTCAATTTGCGGTATAACGCAACCGAATATCATCGATTTCTTGGTATTTTGCTGCAAAACAATAAAAAAACAATATTATTTATGAAAACTTTGTTTTAAACGCCGCATCATGTTTACAAACCTTTTGTAAAATACGCTCAGCGTCCATTGATAGGAACATGGCCATTTCCGTCATCTCCTCAGCCAAACGCAATAGGAACAAGTATTGATAGTGATCGATTTGCACACTCACCAAATTGGAAATGTGCGCAATGGCATGCATATCGGCGGTACGTTCGCTATTTTTCGGCACCTTGTCATTGGCTTTAGCAGCAGCCGTTGCATCAACGCCAGCGCTGGCGCCATTAAAGGAACGTTGTGGCTTCCAATCGCCCATACGTACATCCTCCTCGCTAAGAAAGGGATTACGTGGCAGATTTTTACTATCCCCATTGGCAAAATCCATGCAATTTATATTCGTTTCGACGGAAGAGCCCTTCATGCTGAACGAGGCGCACGAATTGCTATTGACGCTGGCAGCCGGCGATTTGTGCATAGCACCAGCACCGGAATGCAGCCACAAAGTTACCGGCACAGCATCGATGAATGGTATCGATTTGTTGGGACCCAAAGAGCGTGCACCCAAGAAATCCACCCACACCGGATCGAGTTTGATACACCACACATCACGCGGTTCCGACCACATGGCATAACGTGACAAATTCTGTACCGAGGCGGATTTCGGTATTTGCGAAGACGTTGATGTTTGTGTTTGTCCCTGCGACTGCAAGGGGTCTTGTGGCGGCACGGGTGCGCCCACATCTGCGGCCGCTACGTGTGATAGTATGCGATCGGTAACAATACACATGTCACCGTTGACCGCTGGGAATTCCGTGCCGAACACGAGTGAACCCTCCTGCAGTGAGTGCAAAGCCTGCGCTAAATCAGCACGTGACGAACCCATCTCACGTATATTGGTTATGGCAAAACGTGAAATTTGTATTTGCATGATTTTGGGACGATCCTTTTGATTGGGCACATCCACAGTCGATTCAATGACTACGCGTGGCATAATCGCTTCAATCTTCACATCCATATACATAAGATTGGGTTCTTGTTCGGCTTGCGAAATGGCCGCCTCGGAACCGACGCGTGAGCCTTGTGAACCCCCGGTACCAGCTGCACGTTGTGAGGCATTCGATGAGATGGAACCGCGTGTGGCGGAGGAGGCGCCGCTCGCTGTGCCGACACTGGTGCGTAATAAGCTCTCATGTAAATTCAATGCAAACGAATTGAGCCAAAGTATGGAACTTAGATCGAAGTGCACTTGTAGAGGATTAATATGAACGAATACTTTGGACGGCGGCACTAAGCGTGTAGAAGAAAAAACGACGATTAAATTAACCAATGTTTTGTGTACGCATTGTATGTATGAATGTATAAACTTACAAGGAAATATAAAATCACCGGGGTAATAAAAGTAAGTAAACTCAGCATGTACGACGGACATGTCAGCGGGAAATGAATAGCGCTCTTTATCACCTGCAAGATAATAAGTTCAATTAGTATATAAATAGTTTTGATTTTTCAACAGAATATGGCATTCATTGACTTAAGTCAAGATAATTAAATAAATGACTTTCTTGCCAAAGTCTAATGGGAGTACTAATGAGAAGATATTGGATAAGGTAAGATTTTCTGAATTAATATATCTAATTTTTGAATAAAAACAAAAACCACCGTTAGCAACAGCTGCACTGAATCTATAAATCCTTCCGCAGCTGCATATCTTCTAACAAAAAAGGGTATGAAAGTCTTGTATCTTGATTTTGATCGATCAGTTTGTATGGCAACTATATGATATAGTGGTCCGATCGGAACAACATATTCAGAGATTGTAGCGTTGCCTTGGACAATAATGTATACCGAATCTGATGAATACATCTCGTAAACTGAAAAAGTTTTCAATACAAGAACTTGATTTTGATCGATCAGTTTGTACGGCTGCTATATGCTATAGTAGTCCGATTTTGACAACATGTTAAGAGATTGTAGCGTTGCCCTGGACAAGAATCTATGTGGAATTTCGTTAAGATATGTCCTCAAATAAAAAAGTTTTCCATACAAGAACTTCATCGATCAGTTTGTATGACAACTATATACTATAGTGGTCCGATTTAAACAATATGTTTGAAGGTTGTGCCTTGGGCAGTAATCTATGCCAAATTTGGTTAAGTTAATTTCTTAAATAAAAATTTTTCCATACAAAAATCGATTGATCGATCAGTTTGTACGACAGCTATATTTTGTTATGGTCCGATAGTGACAATTCTAACAAATTAGCAGCTTCTGGGAAAAAAAAGTACGTGTGCAAAATTCACTGACTATTTATGTATATAATTTATTAGGTCTCGGAGCAAACTTGATATACCCGGTTCAAAATTTAAAAAAAGGTATCAAAATGTAAAAAATTTAAACACCAAAAACACACTAGAATTAATTTAAGAATATGAATTCTTTCAGTACCTGAACGTGATTTCCGCTTATTTTGTGCTAAAAGTGCGAAATTTGATGATTTATATGATTTATATGTTTTAGTGCGTTTGTTTGTTTGACAAAAACAAAGACAATGAGTTCGATATTAAATATGACGGAGCAGAGCAACGAGAGAAGCAAATATGAGAGACTAATCAATATGCATTTTATAAAAGTATGTAAATTAATTGAATGAGTTAAGTCTCAAAACTAACTAGATAACTAACTAGTATATACAAATGAAAAGTATGCACATAAATTACCCGACACAAACTCCTTAGGCATCTGCTTTCTACCAGAGGTGGTAACGCGATACAAGGTGAAATCTTCTATGCGCAACACAACACAGGCGCTCATCAATTTCGCCAAATTGTCCAATGTTGTCTTTTGCTGTTGTGCTTGCATGATTTGATTGGCGAACGCTGAAGCATTACCACCCGAACCGCCACCGCTGCTGCCGGGACGATGTGGCGTATTTGCGCCAGAACTGGAAGTTGGTGTGCCACCAACTGTGGACGCATGCGCTGCGCTTAACGCTTGTAGTGCATTCACATTGAGTGCGACGGGTGAAGTTGGTGCAGTGCGTTCAAGTGGCGCATGTGTTGATGGGCGATTCGGTTGACTTAGATTAAGCACAGCTTCACGGAATGTATTAAGGGATTCTTTAAGCCACAACGCTGGTGATACGGATGCTTCGCGATATCTGTTGACAAAGTAATTGAATAATGAAAATAAATATGAGTAAACAAAAATCAAGAAATCGGCGGCACTATAATAACCTTCTGGTCCTAGTGGTCTGGTCTGAACAATATTTTCGAAGATTGTAGCGTTACCTTGGACAATCATCTATGCCAAAATTCATAATGATATCTTGTCGAACAAAAAAGTTGTCTACACAAAAACTAGATTTTGATCGATCAGTTTGTTCGACAGCTATATGCTATAGTGGAATTATATATTCAGAGATTGTAGCGTTGCCTTGGACAATAAACTATGCCGAACCTCATGAAGATATCTCGTCAAATAAAAAGGTTTTCCATACAAGAACTAAATTTTGATCGATTAGTTTGCAAGACAGCTGTATGCTATAGTGGTCCGATCTAAACAATATTTTCAGAGATTACAGCGTTGCTTGAGGCAATAATCTATGCCAAATTTTGTGAAAATAATTTGTCAAAGAAAAAAGTTTGTCTTCGAGAACTTAATTTTTATTGAACAGTTTGTATAATAGGTATGAGCTACAATGGTCCGATATGAACAATTTTTGGGCAGAATGTTAGCGCTACCTTCGATAATAATTGGTGCTCAATTTCGTGAAGATAATCTGTCAGACACAAAAGTTTTTCATACAAGGACTTAATTTTGATGGATCAGTTTGTATGTATGCTATAGTGGTTCGATCTGAACAATTTGTTTGGATAAGGTTATGCTGTCTTGGACAATAATCTATACAAAATTTCGCCGAAAACGTCTCGACAAATAAAAAAGTGTTTCATACAAGGGCAGGATTTTGATCGAGCATTTTGTATAGCAGCGTTATGTTGCAGTGCGATATCGCCGATTCCGAGAGGAGAAAAAGACCTATCTGACCTGGAAAAAGTTTGCGTATAAGGAGACAAACGTACAGACGGACATGTCTATATCGGCTCAGATCGTCAAACAGACCACTTAGATTTTATTTTCCTACTGGGGTTTCTAAACTTCCTGACAGTATTCAAAATACAAAATATGTAAATACTACTTACTTCGCCCAGTGCGCACGATCTGATTTGGCCAGATGATAAGGATAATAGTCTATTTGGAATGCTTGCACCGATATTTGAAGAGCGCCACCTTTATCCAATTCGGGATAACTGGAGCGGCCATCTAGTCGGATGTGAAAATAAAATTAAAATATTAAAACATCAATATTAAGAATATATTCAACCATTCCACTCACCTCCTTCATCGTCGCACAAATGCAAATCGATGCGTTGGCTGAAAAAGTGATAGGAAGTCTCGCGCACATCGAAGGCATTGAACATTTTTTGCGCTGATGATGTGTGCGCCGTATCAGATTGGCGATTTTGTTGCTGCGCTATCTGTGCCTGATACTCAGGGAGCGTCTAAAAATAACAAATATTTAAATTTAATAAATTCTAACTAGTACTATACACACCCACACATAGAAAATTATATGAATAAAACAAAATTCACAAAACACTGTATAAAATTAATTACAACATGTCAATTGTTGTTGTCAAATGCAATTACATACGTACTATATACATACATACAAATCAATTAGCTAAGTAATTTTATTGAATAAAATAATCATGACAATAACCTGTAATTTTCTAGCTGCATTCTTTTTCTGTGTTGCATGGGTCGCCGCTTTGATGAGACCCGATAAGGAATCGACAAAATGTAAGGCCGCTTTCAGCTGCGAATCGGTGAGCACCCATAGTAAATCGTCCAGTATGAGCACCAGTCGTGAGGCTAATAATGTACAATCGGAAAGCCGTTTCCGTAGTGTAAGTCGACAGCGCGCTTGATTAGTGAGCAAACGGAGAGGGGTGAGTGATTTGTCCTGCGTTGAACTGGCTTCGATGCGCACCGTTTGCCAGGATAGTTCTTTGAATATGAGTATGATGCCTCTAGTGGGATCTTTAAGTCGGGTGAAACGTAGATCGGCATGAGCCCATTTTGGTGTTTTTGATTCAACGCGAATGCGAGACATCTATAGAGGAAATAAAAAAAACGCAAACTTATTTATCAATAATGACTTAACGTAACAAAGTTATTAGATCTAGTTGCTGAGTGATTCTAACATATAAAAAAATATTTAACGCCGGAATATGCGGTAATTACGTGAGTTGCTTGCAAGATAACGAAAATGACTAAAAATCAAAGAGTTTTCCGGAGGAATCAAATACTGCGATATCCAGCAGTCCGTTCCCATGACAGTCGGGTATACGTAACCGGAACGGACCCCGATTTTCATCCGCCCAAAGACTGTCAAATCGACAGAGTTCAACAGCAGGGTTGAACAACAACAACATGATCCAACAGTCCAGCAAGCCACAAGTCCCTCAGGACTCTAACCACTTCTTCATGCGCAGCGAGTCCCACTCATCTAAAACTCCTGTGCCTATGGTCCGACCCCGTCGAAACAGCTCGTTACCTTGGGCTTGCCGTTAGGTGATTTCGATGACAATCAAGTTGAACCTTCCCATCCAAGCGAGGATTAGATAAAAGCTACAGTAACAACATCATGCATCAACCGTCCGATTTCCAAAACAGCTGGTTATCGGTATTCGGACGAATTTGATCGGGCTAATTACGATCTAATCCTACTTTCATCGGCAAGAATTAAGTTAAGTTTGTCATCATTGGAACAACATCTTGCAGCAGAGTTGCTCAATAACTTTCTAATTGGTGCTGACATTGAGTCCAACCCGGCTCCGGAAGCAGTAAAATTGCTGCGGTTTTTTTGGGGAATGTTTTCCATACTACATCAACAACAATGACATAACCTAAAAAAATAAGGCCCAATTTCTGTAAACACGGAAAATCTTCTATTAAAACTAAAACCGTTAGATCAAGACAGGGACAGCATCTTTAATTCAATGTGACACCCATAAGTCAGTTAGTTTCCCAAAGGAGTTCAGACTGCAACCGTGTACACCTGAGTTGGCTGCCGGGGCAAAAAGCTGACATTCGAATTCGCCAGCTATGCTGCGACTTCTAGGATAATATGACCAGAACCCTGTATTGCGGTAGGGTTCCACACCATAAAGGAGCTGCTCCGCACGGAGAGAGTGGGCAGAAAAAGTTACTGGCAGGTAGAAACAGATATGCACCATGCAAAACCGCTAATGGGAGATTACAAGCTAGCGAGGTTTAAAGGTATGATTAACCCCCCCATAGACAAACTCCGTCTACTAGTGACACCTGTCCAACGTAGGCATGGGTTCTTATGCAAACTGCCGGTTATGCGATCTACAACTGGAAACTCCTAAGCGCCTGATGTAAATGCAGGCTTAAGGCCTTTCAATCCATAGATAGGGATCACATTACCTCAATAGTGTTACTTCAGATCGCGGTGTTACCTCAGATCCTTAAACTTCTGGTATCAGATAGTCGGTATCAACACTGCATTACGTAGTTCAGAAAAAATATTCGGAAGAGTTTAGGAATTTTTAAGAAATATGCAAAATGGCAAACATAATTAGCTTATGCTTTTTGGTCGAAATTTATTCAATCTTGTTGATATTGGTAGTAAAAGTTAGCAAAAGTATCGTACCACTGCCCAATAGCTGATCTTGTCCTTACAAATTGTCGCATAAACGCATGGAGGAACACATTAATATTTTGACTGTAACTCCCACACGAAAAGCAACTAAAAATGTAAACCTTTAAAGAAATAACTTTAAAACAATTATTTCATAGCATCAAAATACTAAAATAAAGCAAAAATTTTCAAAAAGCCTACAGACGTAAGTTAGCACTTTCAAATTAATTGCTTTGGCGTAGTAATTTGTTTGATTTCACACAATTCTCAACTGCACATTTTCCCCACTATTTACAAACAAATTGCTTTTTTGTATTAGAACAACAACAAGGACACTTACCTGCACGGAGGCGGTGAACGCTGCGCTCAGGAATTTCACATTCACGGTATTCACAATGATTGTAATGCCATCCACCACTTTGTGTATGTAACTGTATTTGCCCTGCGGCGCCTGTGGCAGTGTCGGCTGTGCTGTTGCCCCGCCACCAGCAGCAGCACCACCTCCTCCACCTCCACCCGCAACGCCACCGGGTGAATTGGCATCCTGATTTCTAGTGCTCGGATCACAAGTTTCCACGCTGATATTCACCTCGTCCAGTGTCTGCCGGCATTATTTTGTGAGATGTTAGTATGTGTTTATTGAGTCATGCAAAGGTAGAAAATAGAATTACACATTTAGCAAATACTAACAAGATATTTATCGACATGTCCATGTCATGTCGTTCGTTACTCACCAAGGTTATTGGCACACTTTTCAGTTTTGTCCAGCTAATGCGAAAGGACACATGATTGCACCAGGCCGAAGTGAGTCGCAACCATGAAGGCAAGTCTAACAGTTCAGTGAGCACCGCTTCGTCCAGCTGCAAGTTCACCAAATCCCCCTCACCGCGAAATGTGCTCAAATTAATTTTGTCCGATGACAAATTCTTCGTGTAACTGTAAAAAAAATAAAAATTAATTGAAAATGAAATAATGGAAAATCAAGAAATAGCATGGTATAAAGAGATTTAAGTGGTAATGAGTGACCGAAAATAGTATTTATAATACACGCTCTTCATTAACGGCCACCAATTGCTGGCCCTTAGAGCTGGCAGTAGAGTGTATAGCTCAATGGTATGTCGTTACGCTCACCAATTGACCTGTTAAAAAACGATGTCAACTACAATATTCTGCGGAAAGAACTTTTCGCCTCGTACTTCAATGACTTTTTATTGTACGTTTCACTAATTGGTGCTCCTAATTGGCGTTTTTTTGTTTTCCATTTTCGAGCTGTGTGTGTTCTATTGAGCATATTTTTTGCATTGCCTGAAAGCGTCTGCCGCACAGCAGCTGCAATATTTAACTGTATCAATAATGCAATTCTCTGCACTCAGTTTCCGCATGAGCGCTTTGATTTATGATTTTGATCGTTCGAATGGAAGTGGGTTCATAAATGCACCGTTAGCTAAAGTAAATTATAAAAAGTGCTACGTGCTATGTGTGCTACGAGTTTGAAATATTACTCATACAGAATTCGTTTCGTTTTTATTTTGGAGGATTAATGAACGAAAGAGGAGGAGAAACCGCAGACAATTCCTTCCTCGCTCGAGTTCACAGGAGGTCTCGGTGCTGTACAACGATTTAGAATGTATATAAAATCAATAACTTGATGGATCAAGGGATTCGAATTGTTTATTATCAACATGATCCCTGGCTTCTCTCTACGGCCCTGGAGAAGAATATAAAAAGAGGGAAACTTTATTCTTCTTTATTAGCGTAGACACCGCTTTCGCGGTTAGAGCCAAGTTAACTAGAGTACGCCAGTCGTTCTTCCTTTTTGGCTTGAAGATTCCAAGTGTACCCAGATCCTTCTCTACCTGGTTCATCCAACAGAGTGTAAGTCTTCCTCTTCCTCTTCCTCTGTCTGGAGGATGGGAGTGGCAGGAAAGTGAAAGTCTGAGCGCCATTCACTTGAGTGTGGTCAGAAACGATTCCTTTACCTATGGCTCAAGCAGCCAAAAAACATCTGTTTGAAGGCAAGCTAAAGTGAAAAGGCGAAAGACTCCTCCCCAGCTATCCGTTAGAGGAGCAAATTATTACATCCCATTTCCGAAAACGGTAGGATTTACGTAATCGAAACGAATCCGATTTATATAGATAGTGTTTTCAAAAGGACGCTACAAAAAGTAGACCGATAGGGACAACAAAGGATGCTATATTTTTTCCAGCTCTTAAGTAATGTCTGCCATTTCATCATGGAAAGATATACGATCCGTCAACGAGTCGAAATTATTAGAATTTCATAGCGAAATTCGGATTCAGTGGCCTCAACTTTAAGATCGCTACGTCTTAATAATCGTACTGTCAGATCAAAAATTGAGCGTCTAGTGGAAAAATTTGAATCCACAGGCACAATACAAAATGTTCCCGTGCCAATAAGACAAAGAAGTGCCCGTAGTGTCCAGAATATTGCTGCCGCTAGCGCATCAATTGAGGAAGACCCAGATCATTCCCTCACACGTCGTTCTTAAGCGTTGGGAATATATGTGACGTGGTTGTGGAGAATTTTGCGAAAACATGTTGGCCTACATCCTTACAAGATCAAATTGACGCATGAACTGAAGCCGCTTGACTACTAGAATCGTCATATGTTCGCGAATTGGGCTGAGCAACATCTTAAAAATTATCCGGATTTTATTCGAAAAATCATCTTTGGCCATGAGGCTCATTTCTGGCTGAATGGCTTTGGTCATAGAGTAAACCACACCAACTCGTTGGTTCACCATTGCATCCCGAAAAAATTACGGCGGTGTCATTGACTACTTCTCCCGTCATGATCAAGAATTTACTCTGAATGGGAATCGCTACCGCTCCATGATAACCGAATATTTTTGGCCCGAATTGGACAATATGCGGTTTCAACAGGACGGCGCCACAAGCCACACAGMGAATGTTACAATCGATTTATTGAAAACCAAGTTTGGTGAACGTGTTATCTCACGAAATGGCCTAGTCATTTGGCCACCTTGGTCATGCGATTTAACGCCGTTAAAATATTTCCTGTGGGGCTACGTCAAGTCTATGGTCTATGACAACAAGCCAGCGACAATTGATGAACTTCGTACGAATATCGAACATGAAATTCGCGAGCATCCGCCGATTTTTGCTTGAAAGCCGTCGAAAATTGGGTTCAGCGTCTGGACTTCTGCAAGCGTGTCCGTTGTGACCATGCAAGATAAAAATCGAATTCCATTCATAATGGCATCGAATGTCCTTTCACAGGAATAAAGATTTTCATTGAAATCCTAAAAGAAAACTTTCTTTAAAACCTAGTTATTTACTATCAAATTAATACTTATAGTATGAGAGATAAGTATAAAATATTTATATGTAATCGGAAGATAGCAGGAATTTCAAATGGTTCAATTTACGTTCATTAATATATTTATTTTTGTTGAACTACTGCGGCAAGATTGCTAAACAAACACATTTGACTCCGCTTGCAAATTTTGTAGTTACATTTCAAATTAAAATTAAACAAAATCGCAAATCGTAGCGGCGAAATTGTGTTTGTGGCGCTTGGTTTTGCCATCAAACAGCTGCGATATACATATGTATCAATAAATATGTATATATATCAGCCTTTCTCTGAACTAAAACTGTAGTGAAAACAAATACCATTGTAGCATGCGCTAAAAACTGAGAAATCTGAGAAATCTGATAAGGACCTCATTTTTTAACGATGTTACATTTTATATGTACCTACCAATATCGATTTAAGATAAGATAGAAAAAATAGGGTTTCTCCGGGACCTTAGGTCTATTGTGCAATTTCCTAAATCACAAAGACTCACCTAGTCCCAGCACATTGATAGAGTCCAATATACTGTTAGATACTAGGGCGGCGATGTGATTCTTATTTGGACACGTGGATCACAGGGTCTTTATCTTGCGTCTGCACACTGCTATGCTGTCTATTAGAGTTTCAGGCTCGCTGTCGCAGAACCAGCAATTTGCAAAAGAAGCTGGGCCCATGTAGTATAAGTGCTTCCTTAGCTTGCAGTGGCCAGTGTATAATGCGACAAATGGTCCAAATTTGTCCCTATGGAGATTAATTACATATTTAAACCTGCTGAATATAAACCACCACTAGAAAATTTCCATGGCGCATGCTTTGGACTTGTTGTCAATACCTCTAACCCACCGCGATGAAGGGTTCAGGTTCTGCCATGTTAGTAGATGCTATGGAGTCCTGCGACTCTTGCACCAATTCTCTCGGACTTCTTCGAGCCACCGGTGTACGACTTGATTGGCTTAACTCTAAGCAGTAGCTCTAGAGTCGAATCATTCCATTCAGCCTTGCTTCTAAGGGTAACCTTGAACTTCTTGGGGAAAAATATACGCATCGCAAACAATGAAGGCATCGACATATGGTACATCTGTCTATATATATTCGCACCCTAAAATCATTTGTAAAGTTCAAGATAACATGAATGGTGATTTAACAACAAAGGACCTCTTGATGTTCTAAGAGGCGGCTTCGCTTCACACAAACTGAGACGGCAGGTTTGGTTTCTGCGAGACCTGATCAGACTGGGAACGGGTACCTAATCCCCATTAAGATGGTAATGTATAGATAAGTTGTCGTCGACATTATCCAAGGGTAGGACCAGGGAACGCGCAGTTACGACAGGGTCGGCACAAATGGAGAAGGGTGTCAGATGAGTAGGGGTAGCAGGGCATGTAAAGAGAGATAGTGTCATGAAGGCATTCATTGCACACTGGACATATATTTGATATGCCAGGGTATATTCTGCATAAGTAGGAGTTTAACCTGCTACAGTATCCAGAACGAAGCTGCGCAAGAGCCACTCTCGTTTCTCGCGGCAAGTCGTCTGCAATGGGTGGTGGTTTGATTCCAAGTACGCCATTCACTGAGAGAGAATCGGTTAAGGTGTTAATGGCTCCACTGTGAATGGCGGTCAGTGCTTGTCGAAAGTTAGTTGCGTCCGAAATCTGGTCGGCGTATTGTTTGATGTCATCGACGTAGTTGAGGAATGACTTCTTGATGCACCTAGAAGGCGGTTCCGCTCCAAGCAGTTGACTGCAGGGATGTTTTCTGCGAAATCATTTCAGCAGGAACTGCTTTGAGAGGAGTTCATTATGCTCTTTGACTGGGAACATACGGGTCTCACTATGCAGGTGTTCGATGGGAGACATAAAGAAACATCCGGTCGTAGTCCGGATTTCAGTGTTCTGACAAGTTAGGAGCTTCTGTACTTTGACGATAATCGAAGTCGTATGAGGAGTGAAGGAGCGCAGACTGTCGAAAGTCCCATTAAAAATATTAAATTTATTGACAGTCGGAATTTAAGTTAAGTTCCGTACAGTGATGAAGCGAGAAATGTCGCAGAGATAGCCGCTCGATAGGAATGGCGGCACAGTGTACGAACTAGGTACCATTTGCACAGCCGTAGATGCTAATGTCATAGTTGTGTGCTGGCGGTATGTGGCCACATAACGTGTGAGTCTTAATGCCGGCTTGTATGTACTGCAGCTAACCGAGATCGCGTTTAAATGGAACCTTATAGCACAAACGCAACGGAAAAATTCCTTCAGATTCGCGTTGGACTCAATGACACAACGGATCAGGAGGGTGCGGAGCAAACTTCTGCTGATAGCAGTTACTGCAGTGATGATTTAACCTAAATCTTACTGATCCAAACAGGGTAATATCGGCAAATTACAGTCTTCGGACGGATAAAATCGGGATCAATTCCGGTAGCATAGAACCGCCTGAGGGAGGGACAGTCATAGGAAAGTGTCTACTGTCAAATCCCTTCTAAAGAAAGTGCTCGTATTGCTTCCCCAAAAGCATTACAAGTGGATATGATCTAGCATATTGAACATACGAGTATGTGTACTTGTTCAATTCAATGTAGATTAGATTGGAAAATGATGTATGCAATACGAGATATGGTCTATTATGATCTTCTAAGTAGCTTTCGCGTAAAACCCTGAACAAAAGTGCAAGTAACAAGTATAAATTTTACTCTTTATAATTCTCATTTCATTCTTTCAACTCTTTTTTAAATGCTCATAAATTTTTCTTACGTATAAGTACAGACATTCAACTAAATAATGCATAAAATTTTACATAATAATAGATTCCTTACAAATTATCTATGTTTGTAGAACTTTCTGCTTTCAACGTATAATCAGCAATTTAAATTAAAATTTTCTACTGCATTCATGAGTTGCGCGCAGTCTACAACTTCATTTCCCAACCACCTAACCACATATTCACTTTCTATTCACCCATATTTTTGCAACCAACCCCCTCACTTTTGGTTAACATTGTTGTTTCGCAGAGCAAACCCATACCTACATAGCGAATACGCGAATAGAGAAATGATTCAATTTCTTTCTTGGTCTAAACACAATTTCAAACACTTCACCTCCCACTCTAGCACGTCACCATTGAAAACTTGATACACCAACTGGCAGCGATGCTAATATTCAGCGTAGCTAACTGCTGTACTTGACAGTGTTTTAACGATAATTTAATGGTTGACTGTTGCGTTGCGCCACAAGAAGTGATGTGCGCGCGGTGTTGTCGTCGCATAACAAAACTTTGGAGGATGTGCTTACTGTTCGTGGCGGCTTCACTCGATGCTAAGGCGCCAACGCGATTATCTGTCTCAAATTATGAAATGCTACTGCCGTTGCCTTTATTTTTATATAATATTTGTGCGTAGGTGCCAGTCAGTCTGTAAGCCCACGACTTGCAAATGGCCATCGCACAATGCAACTAGTTGAAAGCTTGCAAGGAATCGCATTAATAAATATAATAGAATAAATGTTACGACCGAATCCTTTACACTTCATGCTTTTACAGTTTTCACATAAGTTATAATTTTTATTGCACAACTTTTTAATATTCAAATCATATTTATTAAATTAGAACTTGGTGACCCAGCTTAACTTATAAGTATTTGTTTTGTTGCGAATAGTATGAAAATAAATGAAAGGAATTTTTAAAGTAAATTAAATTAAACAATTTGTTTAGTAATTTCATACAAAATTATTGAAATTGCAATGATAAGCATTAAGCTACAGACTAACTATGGTCAAACGTTAGAATAAAACAGTCAGTATGACTGTAGATAAAGTTTTGTAAAATTAAGATTTTTTGGATGTTTAAGTTCTTCTCAAAATTTTAAAATGAGTTGAGTTGTTAATTAAATTGTTAATAAAATCAATAAAAAGATTTTTACTGTGAATATTTTCCTAAATAAAAATTTTTACGAGTTTTACATAGTACATACATTATTAAACATATACAAATGTACGACATCCAAAGTTTTAGACCAATTAAAAAAAAAGCAAGTTATCTACTTTGCTAAGCAAATATTTTCTCATACCGCTTTTACCGTCTATACTATTATAAATGGCTAAAATAAGGAGAACACTGTAAAAAGTATTAGCAATAAAGGGCAAGTGCACCTTCAGATCAGGGTATATAGGCAAGTAAAGGCACATAAAGAATTCGTATGTGGGTACATAAGATTTATTGTACTCTATATACTTTCCCTCGCGTTACATATTCGTTACACGTACATATGTATATTTCTGTAAATAAAGGTCAATTATGAAAATATCTATAATCCCATATCGATAAGCGCCAAAAATTAAATTAATTACGGAAAAATCAAATAGTTTTTCACTTAAAAAGAGAATTGAGAGCATTCACCACAAAGTCTTTATTCTCTGCTTTATTAAAATTTTTAATTTAATTTTAACTCGTACACTAAAAAGGAAAAAACTCATGGAATATTTTAGATGTAGCCAAGTTGTGGTATTGAAAAATCAATTAATTAGTGGGTATGCAAAACTTAGTTCTTATTTTAGATTATAATCCATATCATAAAGTTATATGGAAGTATTTAAAACACGCTGCTATCTACTTACATCGAAAGATGCTTCAAGAGTTGATTCTTAATCAGCGACACCATCTTTACGGACTAGGACGCAGAAATTGCACAAACACGACGTTGATAACAAAACGCAATAGGTATCACTTTTTTATCAATGCGTCTTCATCTTTTTATAGGTTACTTCTTAATCAGCAGCTTTATAGGATTTGTACTAAATAATTTACACTTTTGCTGCGTTGGAGTTTTTGTTTCTATTTTCTCTACTTCACAAAGAAAACCCAGCTGGTGAATTGCCAGTGCACTATTTCTCAATCACTGCTTTATACACGCTTGTTAACCTTTACACATTTTCGCAAACATTTCACATACAGCTTCTATCTAATCGCAGCAGTTTTTCTTATTTTCCTGAGTTATTTTTACACGTTATTACTTTTTAATCACGACTTTGCAAATACCGTCATTTGATTTCTGCGAGTTTTTGTATTTATTATCGTTCCGATGTAAATGACAGTCTAACTAACTTCCAACTGGATTCTGAAAGGTGTGCTGTCAATAGACTAGTTGAGTTGCCGTAGTTGGAGCTGCCAGATGAATTTAAGCATTTAAGAGAACAGTAAAATTTGGGTAAAATATTTATTTCTTTAATAAAAACTACACTTAATCACAAAGTTGTAGGATCAAGGTAAGAATATTTTTGCTATTTGCACACAAATTGGAAATAAAGTACTGTTTTATAAAGAATTGAATTTGACATAAAAGGTAGGCAGGTGGCATCTCACACATTTCAAAGCAGTTTTTTTTGGTTGTGATTGTAAAACAATTTAAAATTTAAAATCGGCATATTTGCTTGTTTTAAAATATTTATTTCAACCTATATAATCGGACAATTGCTATGGATACCGGCTGTTTGTGCTTGTAAGTGATTTTATTACTGCAACTTAGTTTTTGGTGATGAATTTCGCGAATTTGATCAATTCCATTGTTTTGTTGATGTCGATAAAGTAGTTCTGATAGGTGACAAGAAATGGAAATATAGCAGTTTCGGACTTATGTGATATCGTTTGTGCTCGAATTTCGCTCTCTTTTTTTCATATATAATCTAAATATTTTGTTTTAAGAGATTCTGAGTTTGAGAATAGGAAATTTCATTTTATTTTTTAAGTAACATGGCAGAATGAAAGCTTTTAATAAGACACCAAAACTGTCGACTAAGCTGTACATCCGGTACATTTGTTCACTATTGTACCTATTTTCCAACACTTTTTTCCTCATATATTTGAAACATTCATCATTAATACTTGTATTTACTGCCAAATAAAATTATCAAACTTATTTAAACACGAAAAAACCTCGAGACTTTCCGCAAAGCTTTATTTTTCACTGCGAACACAGATAAGCACAAGTTTATGTATTTGGTGTACTCTTTCGTGCTCACATTGGTACCGCACATAGTGAGAGTGTGGATTGTGTTCAGCCGGCATCCGCTCTTGTCACCTTGCACGAAGGTCACTGAAAGTTTTGCAACAATACATACTGCACAGTGTGTGGGGAAGAGGAACTGAGGAACAAAAGCGTACACTATACACACATACGCGACACAAACCGCATTCGCCGGCAATTCCAAATTATTGTGTCATAGGCAAACGCTTTAATATTCAAAAAAACGTCCTACCTGTGTAATACTGCTGCTGACTTTGTCTCGACAACTTTTGGGGGGGACTTTAAATCCACACAAGTAGGAGGTAGAAACAGGCTAACTCGCTTTCGCAAATAGCTGATGACGGATCTACCACGTACATTTCGCCGATTGCATTTGCGACTGCGACAACAATAACAACAACCGGGGGAAATACAAAGAGCTTTACACGAAAACCGAGTTATATATACTTAAAATGTTCCTGTGGTCGTATTCCACGAAAGCAGCTGCTGCTACTGCTCGTAAAATCGTACTCTTCGCTCATCACTCAGTGTCAGTTGCTCCACAATCGCCGTTGGTGAATTTTGGTGCTAAAGTTCCGTCTCCGTTTGGGTTACAATTCTTGTTAATTAAACGCTTAAAGTAAGTGTTCAGAATCTTGTGCAAAATATTAAAGTAATAAGTGTATTATTTCATTAAAAATAACAATAATAACAAGATGCAATGACAATAAATACCCAAACGATTTATATTAACATCTTAGCTAATTAAATTCCATCGATTTATTAAACAACGGCGAAGAGTTAGATAACATTTTTCGAGAGGCCGTGTGCTTGGTTTTGTAAAAAATATTTAATATATTTTCGTGATTTAATTTTAGATTATTATTATTGAATACTTTTAGTTAATATGCCTCCATATTTGTATTAAAAAGTAAATGTATTTTATAACCGGGTAAGATTTTTCAATAGTGTAGTAATTTCTTATGACCTTTATTTGCTACGTAGAGGTCATTTATATCAAGAGCACGACTTTCATGTGTAATAGCAAGTAAAGGGAAATAACTTCGTCAGCTTAGAAGAACTAGTACATAATTGCAAATAATGGTAATGAAAACGTGTGAATTTAATAATTAAATAACGGATATGAAGGAGGCCAAATTAATAATTAAATAAATGTAGATATCAGCTTTTATCAGAAGCTCGATTCTGTTTAGATAAACTAAATAAAAAATAAACAATTTTTCTAATTTATCCTATTATTTATATTTTTCTACTAGCTCAAGTATGCCTATCAAGTCAATCTTCGCTCGTCAAATCTTCGACTCACGTGGTAACCCCACCGTCGAGGTTGATTTGTGCACTGAATTGGGTCTTTTCCGTGCCGCTGTACCCTCTGGTGCATCGACCGGTGTGCATGAAGCTCTTGAATTGCGCGATAACGATAAGAACAGCTATCATGGAAAGGCTGTGACCAAGGCTGTCGACCATGTAAACAAGACTTTGGGACCCGAATTGTTGAAGGCAAATCTCGAGGTCACCGATCAAGAAGGCATTGATAACTTCATGCTGAAATTGGATGGTACTGAGAACAAGTCGAAATTCGGTGCTAACGCCATTTTGGGTATCTCATTGGCTGTCTGCAAAGCTGGTGCTGCCAAGAAGGGTGTACCACTATACCAGCACATTGCTGATTTGGCTGGAAATAAGAACATTATTCTGCCAGTACCTGCATTCAATGTAATCAACGGTGGTAGCCATGCTGGCAACAAATTGGCCATGCAGGAATTCATGATTCTACCAACTGGCGCAACCAGCTTCACTGAAGCCATGAAAATCGGCTCTGAAGTCTACCATCACTTGAAGAAGGTCATCAAGGATAAATTCGGTTTGGATGCCACCGCTGTCGGTGATGAAGGTGGTTTCGCACCAAACATTCAATCCAACAAGGAAGCTTTGGTTTTGATCCAAGATGCCATCGCTAAGGGTGGTTACACCGGAAAGGTGAGTTATGTTCAAATTATGGTGTAATTTAATTGAAAAAAAAAACAATCAAAAAGTTTAAAAAATTACCGTGATTAGTATTTCTAAGATATAACAAGCAATGGATGTATTTTTCCTTAAACTCTGCTAAATATTAAAACAAATTATTTTTTCCACCCACAGGTCGAAATTGGCATGGATGTTGCTGCTTCTGAATTCCACAAGGACGGTCAATACGATTTGGATTTCAAGAACCCCAACAGCGACAAGTCCCAATGGTTGTCGCCTGAGAAGCTCACCAACTTGTACCAGGAATTCATCAAGGAGTTCCCTATCGTCTCCATTGAGGATCCCTTCGATCAGGATCATTGGGATGCCTGGTCAACCATTACTGCCAATACACAAATCCAAATTGTTGGTGATGACTTGACTGTCACCAATCCCAAGCGTATCCAGACTGCCGTCGAAAAGAAGGCCTGCAACTGCTTGTTGTTGAAGGTCAACCAAATCGGTACCGTCACCGAATCTATCAAGGCTCATCTGTTGGCCAAGAGCAACGGCTGGGGCACCATGGTATCACATCGTTCCGGTGAAACCGAGGACACTTTCATTGCCGATCTCGTTGTTGGCTTGTCTACTGGTCAAATCAAGACTGGCGCTCCATGCCGCTCCGAACGTTTGGCTAAATACAATCAAATTCTTCGCATCGAAGAAGAGTTGGGCGCCAAAGCGAAGTATGCCGGCAAAACTTTCAGAAAGCCACAGTAAATTTTTAGTGTTGAGCAATGATTAATGATTCCAACATGCACAATTAAGGCAAATTCAAGAAAATTTTGAGAACAACATGTGGGTGTGGCAAATTAAGTTGAACTTAATAACGGGAATACAATAAATGCAAACCTAGTACCTTGAACTGTATAGCCACCTACTACTACTACAAACCATCAAAAACAACAATAACAAATGTTAATAATATTTTGTGCGCAGTTATGATTTTCATCACCTTATCATACTTGTAAACCATTTTACTTGTTATATTAAACATACTTTATTTAAACTATATACAGAACTATTATTTCTTAACTGTTCTTTTTATATAAAACTACTTTAAATTATTATTATTGATAATTTCATTTCGGTATAATAAAATAGCATAGAAGAATGATGAAAAAATAAAGAAAAGACCAAAAACAACGAATTATTTATTATTTTGAATATTATTTGCTCTTACTACACTGCTGTGCAAAATAAAATGTAACTAACTAACTGGCTTATTAACAAAACATTTCAAAAAACATATTGCTTAATTGTTAAATATTAGTGTTGTTATGTAAAACGCACATAAAATCATACCGATGACACTCTGTATTGTCCATTTCAATTGTATTTAATCAAGGATATAATTGTCTGGTAGCATTGTGCTAATAATTATTAATAAAAAATTAATATGAAAATATTGGTTTCAACTTTGCGCTTGTTATTTGTTGTGAAAATTTTAGTAGACATTGTGACCGCAATAAAAAAATAATAATAATGCTTGTAACTACCGCTTACTAACCACATTATCTAAAAATTCGAAAATTAGGTTATTATTTTTAATTATAAAATATTATTTTTGGTCAAGGTGATATTTGAAGTTTACTCTAAAATACTTCTAGTTCTGCTTTTCCTCAATATAATCAATGTCAAGGTCTTATGTGAAGGTTAAAGAGAAAGATTGAGAAAGTATATACCAGCTATGTATGTGTTTTCGAATATCTGTTCAAAATACACAAAAATATGTCCCTGGTGTTCTTAGTGTTACGATCAACTATATATTATCTATATATGTATATAGTTTGTGTATACATCTAGTATATGTTTATGTATATATCAGCATATTTATTTATGTACTCATGGCCGTAGAGTACAAATTAGGATGTTTTTAGTGAATGATTGGATAAAAAAATCTGCAAAATATTGTTACAGAGCAACGAACACCCCGAGAAATCCGAGGCTGGAAGCAATTGTCTTCCCTCTCACACCTTCACCGTATGTACCGAATAGGTATATTACACTACCACGTAGGGTAGGTCATTCTTTTTGTACATTACGTCAGTTATTTGACAGCTGTTAGGTTTTTATATATGTACTACATATATATGCACACAAATCACCGCTTAGTCATATACATACATACATATTTCAAAAAAAGAATATTTTTCTTTATTTTGCCTGCCTAGCTGAGGAAATTTCGGCCTTGAAGACAATCGATCTTTAGGATTTCAAAAACTTGCATAATTACGCGCATAAAATGTATGTGATTTAGTTCATTATTGCCTCAGACAAAACCAAATTAACTTATATACAACTATATGTCAAATAAATACATATGTACATGTGTATACATGTACGTAGTAGTGCGTATGTGCGTACATTCGAGTTTGTCTGCGACAATTTTTTATTAGTTTAATGGAAAAATTTGTGCTGATTTAACATCAGGTTTAATTTAATGAAATGGATGCTTAAAAAGTCGCGGAGTTCAGTAAAGCCAAAAATCACGAGCTTTGCAAAATAGTTAGGGATGATGAAAATAATAATAATTATATTATTAACTCAGAAAACATTTTCCAGCAGTAAATTGAAGAAGTCGCTTGGTTTTTCCTGATTCTAACAGAGCTTTTGGTACTGCTCAAAGTTAATTCACACAGCCGCATTAGTATTTTCGTGCTGTCCAAAGTAGCTTTGAAATAAAGTGGTGGTGTGTGTCGATCCTCTTTTCACGGGTCTTTTCCAAGACTGAGTATATGATGAATATCAATCTTCTAACATGCTTTCGTCCCACCATACGCTACAAAGAAACTGACGCGTGCTCCTAATAAGTTCTTCGCCGCCATAGGACTAGCTCGGCCGGCAATGCATCGCCGCTTTATTTTATTTGTATTTGCTGTTCGAACTTCGTCAGGTTCGGACAATGGCTCCAAATGTCATCGGTTAGAGAATCGTGTTCACCATCTCCTGGTGTTATGCTTTTACTGCCATTCAGCAGGCTGAAGAAGTGTTCCCTCTATAATTTCAGTATGCTCTGGGCATCAGTTACTAGATCATAGGGTTCTATAAGAGTATGTTCCGTTCTTAAAACTTTCTGTTAGTCGGAGCATCTTTTTTTACAAGAGTATGCTCCTTTTTTGAAACCATCTGTTAGTCGCCGCATCGTTTCGTATAATCTTCGGGCATGAGCCCTGTTGGCCAGCTTGTCAAGCTCTTCGTACTAAAGCATTTCGCCCTCTATCTTTTTTGTCTTCAATGTATCTCGCCTCCCTCTCCTCCCCTCTTCAACTCTCGGTATCTATCCCATACCACAAGTGTTGTGGTCAATTGTAACGTTGCGGGGTAGGCAGTTAGTTTTCTTTCCGCTGCGACACGGCACTCCTCATCGTACCAGCTGTTTTTTTGCCTTTTCCGAAAACCATTGGTTTCGGTTGCAGCTTTGCGTAAGTAGCTTGAAAGGCTGTCCCACAGTTCCCTTTGCGATCCGGAGACAGAAAGTTAACTTAATGAATATATACATACAGATATAACCGATAATTTCTAGGTGATACAAACAACCGTTAGGTGTACAAAACTAATATGCTTTGTAGCAACATGTTGCAAGAGTGTAAAAATTTTAATTGTAAAGGAGGTTCAGAGCTTTATAGACGCGTTCCCACGACATTCTGGTCTAAATAACCAAACGGACCCGGATTTTTATCCGACCAAGGATTGTCAACCGGGAACCTTTCCTCGAATTTACTTCAAGAATGCTTTCTGAAGCTCCAACAAAAACATCATAGACACATGAACAACCTTTTCTCACGGCAACTTTTAAAGAAGAAATTGTTATGCCTCCAAAACCCGTATATTAACATTATTGTTACTTGAAATATAATTAAAACATATTTAATTTAACTTTTCATTTGCTGTTATTTCAGCAGTCTTTTTTATTTTTAACTAAGATTTCCATAAAATGTGTAATATTAACATTTTGTCTGATTTGTGTTTTCTAATAAATTAATACAGCCAAAAACAAAACTAAGTCAATTACTAAAACTATATGTGAAAATTCAATGAGAATATGTGAATACAAAAACAATAATAATGCAAACAGACATGTGAAGAGTGATAACACTAAATTAGAGAATACATATTTTCTTTGTATACATTTTGTGTAGGAAATTGACTTTGGATTGGATAGTGTAAAACATATTTATATGTATATAATATATTTGGAAATTGCATTGGAAATGCCAGTCATTGTACAACTTCAAAACGCCTTCGAACGAACATATAAAACGCAAACTTTTTTAAGGCACAGCATTTGTCGCTATCGCAATGGGCCACGTTGTCGGTCCACGCAACACAATGTCCTCCAGTGATTCTTTAATTTTAATAAAGCGACGCTTAAACTCTAAACCACAACCTTTGGACAAACGGAAATCGACCAGAATTTTGCCATCCATCTCGATAATGTACGCCTTGAAGACCAAACGCAGTTTTCGGCGATCAATCGTTGATATGGTGACCACACCACCATCGCCCACTTTGCAGGCGAAACCCAAACGTTCGATGGTCGCGACCAGACGTTTTACCGTGTCATCCCAACGTGTGGTGACAAAGAAGCGCGTCATACGACGCACCAAACGATGGAAGACATTCTGCGATGCCGATTGTGTTTGATTCATTTGCGTACAAACTAGCAAATCGTCCAGTAGGGCAGGTTGTGAGAAGCAGAAATTGAAGCGCGCCTCCTGTGCGGCGGCGGGATTGTTATTGGCGCCATCGGCGGCGCTGCCACCGTCCGTAAAATCTGGCGGTATCGTGGGCATCGGTTGTGAGCAGTAATTACGCGATATTGTGTCATCGACAAAGTGATTGGTGAGACGATGTTTGCTCGAATGCTGTCGTGAGCGTTTGGCTTTCGGCGAGTGTATGTCGAGCGCAGCGGCCGAGTCAACGAGATCATGCGAAAGTTCTGCGGAGAAAACGGTGAATGAAATTGACAAATTAGTTGTTTGCACACCATTTTTTTATTTTTTATTTTTTTTTGTTAACAATATTAAATAAAAATAATGTGTAAATAGTAAAAATAATATTCGAAAGCGCACTTAAGAAAACGAAAACACACACACGAAATAAAATGAATTGCATTGGAAAATGAAAACGCAAAAATCATTTGGTTTTTGGTAATTAAGCTCTATGGATTTCTAGTACGCCTACCATACAGCTAAAATCACCAAAGAGCAAATAATATGCAAACGAAAAGATAATGCAAACATAAAAACAGAACGAAACGCACAAAAGAAAAAAAAAACATTTTTGGACATAATTATATAACACTTGCAAAAAACACAAAAAAAATTATTAAAACAAAAAGAAAAACTTTTTATATGGATACAGTAATATTATGGGTTATGGTATTATTTCAAAATATATTTTGTTATTTCACTTAGAAAAAAGTCATCATATCATGATGTTATTTTGGAAAACTACAAACAAAATATTTTTAATTTATTATTTATTTTTTCCTTTTTAATGTGGTTTTTTTAAATTTTCCTTGTTATTTCACATTAAAAAAGTAAATCATGATGCTATTTTGAAAATATTATAAAACATATTTTTAGTTTATTATTTATTTGTTTAATTTTTTATGCGTTTATGGTATAATCCTTAAATGTTTTTTTATAT